GATGCAAACTGCACCCTTCTTTAAATGAGAGTTACACGTGTTAGAAAAAGTTACGTATGTTTCTTAGAATAATAAATAATTAAAAATAGCACATCACTTAAATCTATTATAATATCAAAAGAAATTATCACAAATATACTTTAATTTTCATCTATTTAGAAAAAAAACCTCAACTTAAATAAATCTCGCTCACACCTATTTGCTTCAAGTTTGGAGGTTTATTTTACCAAAATAACCTTCATCGTATTTATCATTAAGTACAATTATGGTACTTTAAGTACCGTAAAAACTAACATGTGTTATACAGCACTTGAAATGCCCTAAACTCTTTTCTCTTTATATTTATTTCTTTCATCTCTCTAATTTTTTTATGTTTATTTCTTCTTTTTCTCTCTAATTTTTTATCACTTCTTTCTCTCTCTATCTCTTTTTCTTTCTCTACTACTTCATCAACTCAACAAACGTGATTTCAATTTTAATATTTATCTCTTTTTTCTCTCTCTAATTTTTTTTATCACTTCTTTCTCTCTCTACAGACTTCATCAACTCAACAAACGTGATTTCAACGCGATACAAATCTGATCCGTCTAATTTTTATAGGGGATGCGGTTGAAAGGAGTTCTTATAGAGGAGGGTAAGGTGCGTACAGGTTATTAAGCAAATCTCCTTGGAGAGAGAAATAATAGATAAAAAAGAATTAGAGAGAGAGAAAGAAGAGATAAACATAAAATGAATGAAACCGAAAGAGAGAAGGGTATGGATTAGTTTTTACAGTACTTAAAATTCCATATAACATGAGTTAGTTTTTACCGTGAAGATTATTTTGGTACAAAAAACCCAAAATTAAAAAAAATGAGTAAATTGAAGAAAAAGAGTGTGGGCAAGGTTTATGAAAGTTGAATGTTTTTTTTCCAAATAGACAAAAATTAAGATATAGTTGTGATAATTTCCCTAATATCAAATATTTCTTAAACTATTGTAATTTGAACAATAAAATAATTAAACCAATATTTTTTTTAGAAACTCTCCTACACCCATGTGTGTAGGACCCCAAAAGATCATCATTAAATTTGATACATATCTCTAGAAAAGTTAAGTCCCACATTTTTTTAGAAATCTGTGTCAAATTTATTAATGACTATTTGGGTCCTACACATATGGGTGTGGGAGGGTCTCATAGGATCATTACTCTAATTTTTTCTCTAATTTAAAACCTGTGAATATTATTGGATGGTGGTTAAGGTCCCAGACTTTTTGAGTATCGGTGTGATCAACCAAATGCACGCCAATTTAGTTGCATATACACACTCTACTCATCACTGTCAAATTGATTATACGGAGCTGATCCCTGAGTTGTGAGCATAGTGTTGCCATGATCCTATAATCACATAATATTTTTATGGGAAAATCATGTATGTATCCATTATATTCACTATTATTATGAAAAAACTTTATAGTTTTTCATTATTATAATTATATCTGTTTTTTAATCTCTATAACATTTTTTTTAAAAAAAAAAAACCAAAAATGTACAATTTCAGTTTTTTGAAACCCGAAATATTTAAAATTTTTGGTTTTTCAAAAATTTCGGTTTTTCAAAAACCCAAATTTAATAAGTTTTGGATTTTAAAAATCCGAATTTATACTTTTATTGGTTTTACGAGAGTTTTGGTATGGGTAAAAGAGAGGTGTAGTTTCGGTTAAAGGAAGGGAGAGAAAGGGAAAAAAGGGAGGCAGGAAAGAGAGTGCAAAGGGGGAATATTATTCTTGAGAGAAATGAATTTATTGATAGATTTGTGCACGAGAAGGAGAGAGGGAGGAAATGGTTGCTTTGTAAGCTGGGAATATTTAGAGAGAGAGAGAGGGAGGAAATGGTTGCTTCGTAAGCTGGGAATATTTAATCCCAAATCCAAAGATAGAGGAGATAATGTGAAGAAGTTTGATATAAAATGAAGGGTACGTAGAGAGAAAAAACATGCTTACCTGAACGGGTGGCCTATGGTGGCTCCCCTCATTGCACTTGGAGGGTGGGTCTCCTTAGCATCTGCCCAAGTGGGAGAATGCACGTCATAATTTGTGGTAGGGGGCACGCGTTCGCGCGTCCCCTACCAATGCCAAAATCAAATCTTTAAGGTCTTCCTAAACCCCCAACAATTCTAAAATCAAATCTTCCAAATATTTTAGTTCTTCAATTTAGGTAGTTTGAGTTAAAAATACCAATGCCAAAATCAAATCTTTTAGGTCTTTTTAAACTCCTAACAATGCCAAAATCAAATCTTCCAAATCTTTTAGGTCTTTAATTTAAGTTAAAAAAAACGAAAATATCTCCATATTTTTTATTTTTGGCTTCTATTTATCAAGAAACCCAAGGGCATAAAGTCTCTGTCTTTTTTATTTTCCTACCTCCTAGACCCCTTTAATCATACATTTTGACCTAAATATTTTGTAAAATGACTCTCTATCTCTTATTTTTCTAACCCCTGGACCCTTTTAACCATACATTATTGACCTAAACATTTTGTAAAATGATTCTCTCTCTGTCTCCTTTAACCATACATTATTGACCTAAACATTTTGTAAAATGATTCTCTATCTCTCTCAAAACTCTGTATCTCTCGTCTGACTCTCACCTCTCTTATCCTATCTTTAAATTTGTTGAGCTGGTAAACGACTACTCTCTTTCAATTCTTGTAAAAGACTACTCTCTTTCAATTTTTTCACGGTTTTCATGGCTGATTTTTCAACTGATAAGGCTTATCCTTCACACAAAAAACAAATTTCCCACCCCTAATTCTGTAAGAACTCTCATTAGACGTTGGGGTTCTATTGTTTGAGTTTTTGGGCATGGAATGGTTTCATGGTCTTCTTGTCCATCACTGAAAGAGTTTCTGGAGAGAGAAGAAGTCTTAGAATTAGAGGATGAAGATCCACAACCTTTGAAGTGAGCATCATCATCAAACGGGTTATTAGAGAATTTGTCAAGAACATGTGCAGAGGAGGTCTCTTTGAGGAGGGGGAGGAGGCGCAGTGATGAGATGCTCCTACCCAACTTAAGGGCGAGTCTCGTCTCCACCAACTCTACGTGTTCTCTCTGAGCCAGAGGCTTGTCTAGGGAAGACGACAATGATTTGTCGAGCAATTGGTAGAAGCCAGAGTTGTTCCTGAACATGTCGAACACCATCCAGACCTGCCCACCATGGCTAAAGCTGTTGACAACACATGCCAAGGCACCAACCACGATGCCACCCACTGTTGTTGAGCCCCCAAGTGCCGATCCCACCGTTGCAGTGGCCATCAGGATGGGCCCAGCCACGGCCATATTGCAGTTCAAAACCAGCTTGCTGAGCCTCATGTACTCCGCCGTGTCCCTCTCCCGTACCACACCTGCCACCTCTGCCATCTCAGTGCTCCACCCATTATCAGTCGTCTCCTCCTCAGTCTTGGAAGGAGTAGCAGCAGCTCTCTTGGGCCACCACATTGTGGGCTTCATTTCATAGGGGAACTTTTCGAGCATGCCAGGGAGCAAGGACAAGGGGTAGGCTTTATTGATGGCCAACACTTGAGCCATGGCATCATCCAGAAATTGAGAAAGCTCTGGGCGGAGAGATGAGTGAAGTCCCAATGTGGATTGGATATGCGAGTGGAGGCGCGGCTTTCCTCTGCTCCTCTGCTAAGTGAGAGGGCTAGATCTTGCTCATCACACACACCATGGCAGTGGCCGCCGAGTAGAGGAAGGTGGAGGAAAGGGTGAGGGAAAGGTGGGCAACATTAGAGCTCGGAATGATGCGAGGGCCGCCATGGTTGCAGCCCCGAGTTCGATTGAATTGGTAGAGTTGAGAATAAGTGTTTTTCAATTAAAAAGATAGAGATTTTATGCCAAAAATAGATGGTACAAAGATATTTTCCCTTAAAAATATTTTTAGGTCTTCAATTTAGGTAGTTGAGTTAAAAATATTTTTAATTTCACATTTTCAATTCAAGATGCAAATGTAGTGGGTTTTCAATTTAGGTAGTCGAGTTGAAGACATTTTTAGTTCCACATTTTCAAGATGCAAAAGTAGTTTCATTTTGATCGTAAATTGGTTTTAAGAAAGGGAAATTATTTGGAGAAATTATGTATTTTATTTTTATTTTTACTTTTACGCTTAGGCCGATCTTTTGGTTTTTATTACAAGGAAAATTGTTCCATGCGTGGGGGGACATACTTCTAGATTTGCATCCCCTAAGGCCATAATTTTAAATGTGGATGCAAATGGGTGGGGTCCATCTAAAAATAGTTGAAACTAACTGTTTAAATATTTTTTTTATAAAATTAAAATGTATAATTTAAAATTTATTTATTTATTCATATTCATGCTATCTATGTTAGAGGTTATATGTCCCTTAAAATTTAGCTCCAAAAATCCATCTCAAGAATAAATTTTTATGTCGGGACTCAAATCTACATGAACTCATAAGAATTGTGTTCTTATTTTAATATTTTTACCTTTTTTAAGTCATCGACGGTTTGTAGGTTTATTGAAATCCTTTATCAATAACCTCAATGATATTACAAACGTTTCGTGTTATGAATGATATTTTCCCTCATAAAAAGTCTTTCCGATAATTTTGAGAGATATTAGAGGGGAGAAATAAGAGAGTGATACATGAGGCATGGAAGATTGTTTCATGTAGGCTAGACCACATTTCTATAATATGCCGTCCAGAGGTATAAAGCATCTAATTGAAAGAAGGATGCAAATAACTAGTCATCTAAAAATAATTGTAACTAACGGTTTAAATATTTTATTAATATAATTATTATTTTTAGTTTGTAATTTTTTTTTATATTTTTTATATTCATGATCTCCATGTTAAAGATTATATATTCTCTAAATATAAAAATCAATTATATTTTAAAAATATATTTATTGCCAAACCCGTATAGAAACTGTCTCCATTAGGGAATTTAAAATTCTCTATTACTTTCAATGAAATTTCTCGTTTTCTCAATTGAATTACAATTAACATTCAAAAAAGAAAAATTGTTTCATGCAAGTTGGACTACATTTCTACATATGCGGTTCAGAAAGTGCAAAGCATTCATCTTATTTCTACATATGCGGTTCAGAAAGTGCAAAGCATTCATCTTAATGAAAGATGCAAGTAGGTGTTCTATCTAAAGACAATGAAACTAACTGTCCAAATATTTTCTTACTAGAATTATTATTTATAGTTTTTAAAATTTATTTATTTATTTATATTCATGATCTCCAAGTTAGAGATTACATGTTTTTAAAAATTAAGTCTTAAAATTCATCTCAAGTCCTTTAAAATATATATATATATATATATAAATATAAAACAATTGGGGATATTTTTATCATTTGAGTGAGAGCTCTTTGGGGTTAAACACTAGATAAGGTAGATTTGAATATTTAAAACAAAAAAAAAATCTAAGTGACATGAAAAAAAAATATATACCTTCAAATAATTTGAGCATATTAATAATATTCGAAGGCGTTGGACTCCTTTAATGGTATTCTCCCCAGAAGTTATGAGGTCGTTATTGGTGATCTCTTTTGCCCGTGGTAGTATACAATGTGCTCCCGCGGGAGTACTGCTCCGTAATTCTCTTCTTCATTAGGTCCTTACGTTCCATTCCCAGCTTACACCGTATAAAGAGACCGCGCGGAAGACATTCTAGATAGAGAAAGAGGCTGAAGAGAGAGAGAGAGAGAGGAAGAAATTCTAGATTGAGAAGGAGGCTGAAGAGAGAGAGAGGAAACCGATTAGGAATTCTAGAGAGAGGAAACCGATTAGAAATTCTAGAGAGAGAGAGAGGCTGAAGAAGTGATCGGAAATCCTGTGCTCTGAAAGAAGAAAAAGGAAAAGCAACAGTGGGAAAAAACCAGTTAGAGCAGGTATGAAGGTTGTGGCCTTAGTGAGTGGGGGTAAAGACAGCTGCTATGCCATGCTAAGATGCATTGATTATGGTCATCAGGTTCGATTCCTCTCTTTCATTTCATCACCACCAAGTTTCTTTTTCTCGTGAAAAAATTCATCTTTTTTAGTATACTTGTTTATATATTCAGCTTCATGATATTATATGGTTTCCTTTTTCTTCTGATGGATATTGGTGATTTGGGTCTGGTTATTTTTCACTTACTGTTTTCTTCTTTTTTTTCTTTTTCTTTGTGAGGGTTTAGATTGTTGCATTGGCAAATTTAATGCCACTTGATGACTCCATTGATGAACTAGACAGCTACATGTATCAAACTGTAAGTTCCTCCTCCTCTTTAAACTCTATTTTGAGTCTTGGCTATTTCCATTTTTCTTCTATAGTTAATAGAATAATTTCTTTACTATTCACTTTTATGTTGAAAATTGGAGGTATATATTGTCACTGTATCAAGAAAAAAAGAGAGAATAATTTCCGTATATGTGTCGGGGTAAAAGTATAACGATAGAACTGAGGGTGAATGGTTTAGAGTAGTTGGAATTTGTGTAATTTGAATTTTTATCTCTATGATAAAATGAACCAACTAATACTGTTTGGCCATGCATGCCTTCAGGTGTTTATGAATTAATTTTTGAAAGTTGATTTGTGTTTCATATTCCTCAGTAATAGCATACTATATTACAGTTCACAACTTGCCTTTTCGTTATTTGTTAATGCACTGAGTTCAGAATTTACTTTTTCATTGTAAACTTCTCTTTTCCTCTTCTTTACTACTGTGTAAAATTGTGTTAAAAATGATATAACAATATGGGTTTGATCCTTGGCATTTTAGAGATTGAAAAGATGGTGGACCATTCATGATTTATGATTATTACTATTACATTTGTTTCTTAGGTAGGACACCAAATTGTGGTCAGTTATTCAGAATGCATGGGTGTTCCCTTATTCAGAAGGCGGATACGAGGGTCCATGAGGTAAGTTATCTTGCTCAATCATTCCTTTCAATAAATAATTACAGTAGAGAATTTATAAAAAAAGTCATCAGAAATCGTCTTCCGCAATTTACTCTTTTTTTTTCCCCTGGCTGTTGCTCATCTTGCTAGATATTATTGTAGATGTCCATTGAGTAAAGGGCTGTATGATTTTTCTGTAGTTGAGGATTTTGTTGAATTTGTTGTCATGTTTAAGTCTTATCATGCCTTAATTCCATCTCATGTTTTAAGTCTTTGAGAAACTGACGAAAATACTGATTTTGATTGGATTCATTTTGGCTTTTTCTTTGGGCTGTGAAAATTAAATTTCCAGCCTTACCACTGGTTCACTACCATTGTTCTCAATCTGCATGCTTGGTGGACCCCTTTTTGGATTTTAGCTGAATAACCGATTGAGAGCTCCTTTTGTTGCGGCTGTGAAACTGAATGCAACTTATAAGAGTGGGAGAGCTTTATATGGGATCCTACATCCTATGGGGCTCTGGAAACTTGTGGGCTTCAATTCAATTTCCAATGCATACTTTCAGAAGTGAATTACATAGCGTTGTTTTATTACAAACAATGCATACCATTTTTGCATGGCATACTTGCTCAAATTCTTATATTTTTGGTGCTACAGTTTTAAGTAGTTCCATTTCTGGTTCCCTCTTGTTATTCAGATGAATTGCTCAATTTCCATGGTGTGTGTGATTTCTTATCCTCGAGTATGAAGGAGTACTTTTTATATGCGAAAACATATAGTTTTCTATGCACTTGGGGTTCATGGGTGTGAAACAGTTTTAAGAAAGTTTGTGTGCAAAGTTTAGTTTTAGATCTCGTTTTCATTTCTTCACAGTTGCTTACTTCTAGCTTCACTCTTTTCTAGGCACAAACATCTTAGATACATGATGACTCCAGGTGATGAAGTTGAAGACATGTTCATTTTGTTGACGGAAGTAAAACGCCAGATTCCCTCCATTACGGCAGTATCTTCCGGAGCAATCGCTTCTGATTATCAAAGGCTGCGAGTGGAGAGCATATGTTCAAGGTTAGGGCTAGTTTCTCTAGCGTATTTATGGAAACAAGATCAAACTTTGCTTCTTCAAGAAATGGTAATTATCTAGTTGTCATTCCGGATGGTGACTAATATTTCTTTGACGTATTTATTCTTTGAAATATTGACTTTTATCGATGGTTATTTATTGATCACAAACGGTGACTTTCTTTTTGTGCTGCTTCTTTATAGATTACAAGGGGAATTGTGGCTATTGTCATAAAGGTAAAACTTCCTTAGGATGACTACGTATTGGCATCGCTTTTCTATATATTTGGTTTATGAATCTGGGTTTTACCTTGTCAATTTTGTGAAATTATGCTCTTTTTATTTACATCAAGTTAAAATTGCGCCTAGTTTAACTTGGTACTGTTCAGCCGCTCATTTAAAATTTCAGGGGTAACTTTCAGGGATATTTTGGTCAATATATTCTTGTAATTAATTTTTTAATATTTTTATTATGTTCGCCTAATTTTCAAGAGTAGACGCTCAAAATTTCACGTGAATTAGATATGTAAAACAAAAATTCAAATTCAAATATGAAATATAAATGTGACCATTAGATCAGCCCATATTCAATCTGGCCATTGGGCCATGTACTGTAGCTGTCAGTTAGCATGCTGACCTCAGACTCTCCCATATATATATATATATATATATATATATAG